AAACCAAGAGTGTCTAAAAAAATAAGTACAGGAGCTCAGTATCGGGCCCGATACCGATACCAGTATCGGTATCGGTGCATCCCTACTTTATTGTATTCATGCATATTATAATTTCTTATTTTCTGTGAAATATGACCTGGCATCACCCTCAGATTTTTAAACATCTGCTCATATTATTGTAAAAGTGTGTGTGTGTCATGAAATCATGAAACTTGTACAATTTAACATCAATATAAAAGTTTAACAGAAATTACATTTGGGCACCTGAAATGTTTTTTTTTTCTCACATTCCGTTTCATTTTTACCAAATTCTGTTCTGAGTTCTCCGTAATGGATCCGTATGTGTGCTGGTTTTAGGTAGCAGTCCGTGTAGGAAGCAGACGTTAGAGTCAGCAGCACTTCCTGTCTTCCCCATCCCGGATCTCTGCACAGCTGCACAGTTACAAATATAGATCCAGTGTGGATTGGAAAGCCATTAGTCCATCCACACACCTCCACAAACAACATACACAGGCAGATCGACACACTGGCCGTGAAGCCATGATTACTTTGATTTATGTAAAACACTGATCCAGGCTTGTGAGATTTGCTCTCTTTTTGTATTTAGTAAAATAAATAAATAAATAAAATGTAAATGTATTCAGAAAATACAGACAAAATATTTCTTAAATGTATTCAGGAAAAATAGACAATCTTTTTAAAAGTTTTTAAAAGTTTTTTTTTTTTTTTTTTGCTATTACTATATTCAGGAAATGTAAATGTGTTCATAAAATACCTATATATATTTTTAGTATTAATATTTTTAGACAAAATATTTTTCAAAAGTAAAAATACACATTTTCATAGTTCTTATATTGTTGTTTTTGCTATTAGTATATTCAGAAAATTTAAATATATTCAGAAAATACCACCAAAATCTTTTAAAATCTTTTTAAAAGTTCAGAATTTTTTTTTAGATTTAAATGTATTCAGAAAATACAAAGTCTTTTAAAATAGTTCAAATATATTTTCATTGTTTTTAAATTGTTGTTTTTGCTGTTAGTATATCCAGAAAATGTTCTCATTGTATTTATATTGTGATTTTTGGTATTGCCGTTTACATCAGATGCTGTTAAAATGAATCTCTCTTATGCTATTTGTATATTATTAACAATTATTAACAAGAAATTAATTATTAATTTCTCCATTATTAATTATTGTTTTCTAAATTTTGCTGTTACACCACACATGCACGGTATATATATGTCAACAACCCATTTATTGTATTGTCTTAATAATGTTAATTAGTACATTGTAAATATTTACCATCTATCGCCCAGCTCTAGTTTCTAATGTAAGTGAAAACAGAATTGCTAGTATTGATGCATTCTGTTTTTCCACTGAGACTAAGTTATGAGACTAAGACTAAAACAAACCAAATCTGAATATTTAATAATAACTATATTTGAGTAATAACTAAGCCAGTGATGAATTTTAAGATCAGATCATTCACAAAACAAACTTTGTCTCTTCATCAGGTTAGAGCAGTCCTGTCCTGTAGTTGTGTGAGGTGTAATGCAAACCGCACACAGCTAAAATACAACCACACTCGCACACCATCACAGCTGCCATGTGTTGTGTGAAACGGCTGTAAAATCTTCATCTCCTACGTGATGATGGTCTGATGTCTCTCTATTATTAGAGCCAGAATCTGGTCTGCTGTAGAAATGAGTGTTAGAGCAGCAGTGAGGATATACTGGCCTCTTTCATATAAGCCAGAACAGAAAAATGGACACTTATCTCACTCCTAGTACGGCAGCTATTTTTGGTGGTCATGGGGTCCTGCTCGAAAGTGTGTGTGAGGGTTTGTCCTCTGGGTTTGAAGGCTGAGAATGTTTGTGCATGCTAATACATGAAGAGTCACTGGTTTGGAAAAGTATAGAATTTGAGTAATTTCCAGGTCTCGAAAAGTATGAAAAAAAGAAAGCAAAGTATGGAAAAATATTTGCATTTCCAGACTTTTGCCCCAATTTAGTTTTCTTCTAATTAAGAATTTAATGAAAATAAATGTATCATACAAGAAGTGTGTTTTCATGGCGGCTGTTTAGTGATTTTTCAGTGATTGTCAAACATGACTGAATGAATTCAAGGTGCACTTTTTCATGTGACAACTGAAATGGACCAGCAGCCACAGAGGATGTGTTAAATTGGACATATTAGAGGTATTACCCGAAGAAAAGCCAAATTTTGAGCAAGTAGATCTCTATTAATTAATGTGCATCCATGCTTTCGTTTTCTTCATAGTAAGATTGTGGCAGTGACACACAAACAAAATAGGCTATAGTATATATAAAATTTGAATGTGTAAGCATGCTAAAAATTCCAGTGTGCATGTGAATAGTTTCTCAAGGGCACAAAAAAGTTCCTTGTGTGCATGCAAAAGTCTGCTTTTTTTTTTACGGACATGATTACTTTGTGTAGCAAAACACTGATCCAGGCTTATGAGATTTGCTCTCTTTTTTATTTAATAGTTTCTCGAGGGCACAAAAAAGTTCTTTGTGTGCATGCAAAAGTCTGCATTTTTTATTTTGTACGGGCTCTGTGTTGTCGCTACAGTATATACCAAATATAAAGCTGAAAATAATACTTTATGAACCATTTACATTAAACATGGTCTAAAAATCTACAGAGAGGTTTGAATCTCAAATTTGAGTCTGGAAAAGCATGGAATTTTGAAATGAAAAATGTGTAGGAACCCTGTGCTAAAATCAAAGCAAGATTTCTGGATTAGTTCTGAAAAAGATCCTTAATCTTGATGCATGAGGGACTTTATTTACACCTACACACGTACTAAATGGTTAAACGGTTTAACTTGGAGTATTGTGGGATTGAAAGTAGTCTGGAACAAGTGAGAAATGTGTCAAAAAGGCTGCAGCCGGACACTGTGTATTAGAGGTCGACCGATAGTGGATTTTGCCGATACCGATAGCTAGGTTGGACCACACTGGCCGATACCGATTAATTAACCGATAGTTTTAAAATTGATACTGAACAAAAACTAAAATAGTGCTTTATTAACAAAAACAGTACTGAACCATACTAGTAGTAGTAGTAGTAGTAATAATAATAATAAAAATGTTGAAATTAACACGGACCAATATAATGTAATTTAAAGGAAAACTATGTGAATGGCGCTCTGTGGTGCGGCAGGATTTTCTGTCGGCTGCATTTAAATCCGCGTCTAAAGTTTCCCGCTCTGTTCAGTGTGCAGCATCACGTGTCTAAACAAATAGCACGTGCTGTCAGTGATTTCAACCACTAGAGGCCACTGTGTAATGACAGCAGACCATTCTCAGCCGCTCCAGCAATGGACGCAACCCGGAAAACTATCGGCATGGATTTTTGTCGATAACCGATAGTTCCAGCAATCAACTATCGGTGCCGATTAATCGGCAAAACAGATACATCGGTCGACCTCTACTGTGTATATATGCACCAATAGTGCTGTTTCTAGATCGAATTCAGATTTCAGATGCAGCTTTATTTTTTTCTCACATTCCGTTTCATTTTTACTAAATTCTGTTTAAGCAGTTCTAATTAATTTAATGTGTAAATGCAACTTAATAATTACTTTTTATTTTTTTTTTATTAATTATTTTTTTTAGAATTTTTATTATTATATTTTTTAATACAATAATATGGTCCTATGAAATGTTTTTTTTTCTTCTGTGTTGTGTATTTAAATTTTCCTGGTTATCAAATGAAGGCATAAAACATTAATTTAATTCATCCTTTAATCAAATGAAAATTAACCAAACACTTTTCCTTTGCAAACAAAGTGCTGCACAACAGAGATTTACTATTAAAATTAAAACTTGGTAGACAAAATTGTGCGATTTATTCCTTAAAAAAAATAAAGTTTTAATAATTTTATTAGTGGTAGTAGACTAGTAGTAGTGAAAACACTGCGTCACAAATGCTTGTATGTGTGAAGTAGATTTATTTGCGCCATTCATTCACACTTTGTAATTTTGATTCATTCATCCAAAATTTGTCAAATTCCATGACATTCTGTCTTATACAGTAAATTCAGTTTTTATGACTGGATTCCATGTTTTCTGCATTGCAGTAATCATAAGGCCCTATAAATTAATGTTTTTTGTATAATCTGGGCATGCATTTTCTATTTCAAATTAAAATGTAAAGAGTTTATGTATGTGCACAATATGCATTGTCATTTAAGCAAGCATTTTGTATTTCAAATTAAAATGTGACAACTGTAATAACTAATCATGCATATATAATATTTAATTGACTGTTTTGAAAGCGATCATAGATCATAATACATCCACAACCATGTACATAAGACAAGTACACTTGACTTCTGCATACACAGTGCTGTGTGAACCCTCAAAAGGGATCAATCACTTGTTCTTCCTGGCTGTCAGTAGATGACTGGACAAACCTGGATAATAAGCGTGCAATAGAAATTTCTTTCTCTTTTTTTTCCCATGCAGACTTGAATCAGATTCCCATTTTACCATCTGTAGCAGATGATGAGTTCATGATGATCAGCAACTTCTGAGAGATCACATACTTCAGATCGCTGTCCTTCATTATTTTTTTATTTATTTGTGTTGTATGAAGTATTACACAAAAAGGTAGAAATAGGCTTATAAATTGATGTACTTTAGGTCACAGGTGTTGTGATTGGCCAGTTTGATGAGCCTTAATATTTCCTGCTTCCAATATCAGCCAATTCAGATCAATAACAGCAAAAAAAAAAAAAAAAGTTCTTTATATATAATAAACATTTTGGCTGATGCTGTTATATTTGTATAATTTCCTTGACCTGCAGGAAAGTAGAACAAATGTTTAGAGGGTTTTCAGAGACTGTGTTTCAAGCACATTGGTCCAAACACACTTTTACATGAGCAAAACCAAAGACAGGTGTGCAGCAGTCCTGGATGCCAGACATGCGTTTCTCATTGTCTCTTTCTCTCTGTTATCTGTCCTCTCAGATCTATCACGAAACAGGTTGACGGAGCTGCCGGTGGAGGTGTGCATGTTTGTGTCGCTGGAGAATTTGAACCTGTACCAGAACTGCCTGCGTTCACTACCAGAGAGTCTGATCAACCTACAGTCCCTCACCTACCTAAACATCAGGTCACAGACACAGCATTCATAACATAACATGCAAATACATTATGTAAAATATTGGTATTGAACCATTTAATTGTTACCACAGATAAAAGACAGCTGTGTTTTAACATGGAGTTCTGGAGATATGAAAAACATTGATTGGATTTGTTCGGTTAAAAAAAATTTCAATTGAGAATCCATTTGTTCTTATAATTCATGATTTGATTTTGAGATTCAAACCATCTATTATTATTCATTTCCAAAAAAGATTCCAACCGTCTGACAATTAACTCATTGTAGTTGACTTAGTAACTCACCAAAACCATATTTTACTCAGTTGCTGTGCGGCAAGTGTTAATTAGTGGTGTTTACTAAAGCAAGCATCACTAGTGCTGTTGCTTAGGCTTAAGGTTAGGTATTTGCACTGTCTTGCAAATTGCACTTGTCTTGTTTGTGTTTCAGACATAATGACACCTCATATTGTTTGGCTTTTTAGATGTGCATGAGGTGTGTTATTACTGTAAGTGATCCGACTCAAGAAATTCACCTGGAAGATGATAAAACGAGCAAAAAAATCACACAACCTTACATTGAAGGCCATATCTAGAGAAGAGAATCTTAATTGAGATTTAGAGATGTGGGCATCTTTGGCTTAGTCAAGTAAGAAGCTGTACTTCATTGTAGTACAGTAAAATACTTTATTGTATTTTAGTATTATTTATTATTATTCTAGCATTAATTAATATTTTGAGCTTTTGAGCTGTTATTTTTAAATTTCCAATTTTCATTTTAAATTCAAGTTTTTTGTCATTTTTATTAGTTTTTGTTTTAATATCTCTATTTAGCTTTTAGTCATTTTAATACTTTTGATTTCAGTTTGTTTACAAAGCAACATTTCTCATTTCCTTTTAAGTTGAAGTTTTTGCATTTAAGTTTTCCATCTGATTATTTAGATTTTCTTAGATTAAATTTTTTCTTATTTTAGCTAATTTTTAAATAGTTTGTTAACAATAACAACACTGTTAGCAACATTAAGAGAATGTAGCAAAATCTCTAAAAATATTACAAATAAAATCCAAACTATTAAATATAAAATAAAAATATATAAAATACAAATAAAATAAAATATTTTCATCTAATATTTATAGTTTTTTTCAATTAATTTTAGTTTTAGTTTACATTTTCATTACATTTACATTTAGTCATTTTGCAGACACTTTTATCCAAAGCGACTTACAAATGAGGACAATGGAAGCAATCAGAATCAACAAAAGAGCAATGATATGCAAGTGCTATAACAAGTCTCAGTTAGCTTAACGCACGTAGCAAGGATTTTTTTAAAATTATATAGTAAATAAAAAAGAAAACAGAATAGAGCAAGCTAGTGTTAGAGGCCTTTTTTGCTTTTGTTAATTGTATAATAAATAAAAAGAAAACAAATAGATAGAATACACAAAGATTAGAAAAGGTTTTTTTTAAAGAAAACGAGCAGTAAATGAATAGAGAGCATGTCTAAAAGGGACAAGTTTTTTTTTAAAGAATAGAATTAGAATAGAGAGTGCTAGAATAGTGCTAGTTAACAATAACAACACCGTTAGCAACATAAAACCATTCAGAACTCTTTAGTAACCGCATTGCCCTTTGCAGCCACCTTTATTATTAATCATTCAAGTGAAAGTACCACTCACATTTATTTAAATCTAGTCATTGGACTCTGCGGTTTCTTATTCCCTTAGTTGTCATTTTCTCTCCGCAGTCGGAACCAGTTGTCCACTCTCCCCTCTCATCTGTGCCGACTGCCGCTCAAAGTTCTGATCGCCTGCAATAACAAGCTGGTGTCGCTGCCGGAGGATCTGGGCAAACTCAGACAGCTCACTGAACTGGTGTGTGGACCAGCGCTAGTCTCACTAGTTTTCTCTCACTAGTGCACTTTACTCATCAATTCTCTCTCTCTCTGTCTCTGTCTTCAAGGATGTCAGCTGTAATGAGATCCAGACGCTTCCTCCACAGATCGGTCAGCTGGAAGCTCTGCGTGACCTCAACATCCGCAGAAACCACCTCGTTCGTCTGCCTCCTGGTCAGAATCACACACACCTGCACCTATATGAAATGAGTGACCTTTTCTTTGTAGATGTGCTTGTGTCATTTCTGTGTTGATCGTTTTGCAGAGTTGGCCGAGCTGCCGTTGGTCCGGCTCGATTTTTCCTGTAATAAGGTAACGACAATCCCAGTATGCTACCGCAATCTCAGACACCTCCAGAGCATCATTCTGGACAACAATCCTCTCCAGAACCCACCTGCACAGGTAACACACGTTCCTGTTTTGATCTACACTGAAGAAATAGGTCATTTTATGAAAGTAAAAAGATTTTCGAATGCTATTTCAGTGCTTGTTTAAAAGTTAGGAGCATCTCTGTGAGGTTACACATCCTGAGGACCATCTTTATTGACGTGTTTCTGCATCTTCTTCTAGATCTGTATAAAGGGAAAGATCCATATATTTAAATATCTCAACATGGAGGCGTGTAAAGCAGCATCAGACCTTCCAGACTATGACAGAAGACCACTGCCCTACGGATCCTAGTAAGAACTCACTTCAGTTCACTGGGTTTTGTGAGCATAATGTGTTTATCGGCCGTGTCTCTCAGAGGACACGCAGAGCAGGGTGATTCTGCAGATAAGAAGGGAGGGAAAGGAAAAAACACAGACAGAATGAAAGCTTGGATTGATTGGAATGAAGGTATGAAGACAGGAGAGATTGCAGCAAAACCGGATGACAGAAGATGAGATGATGTAGAGATCAAACTTCTCGAGATTTGACAGATGATATATAGAACTTGAAGACAAGCAGTGTGTACAAATTACAGTACGAAATCTTGTTGAGGAGAGGTTGCTATTACTTTTCTGAGTAATCAGGTAATTTTTTGTGGTGGCGAATAAAATAAAGTATAAAACAAAACATTAAAATTTGAATAAAATTAAATTGAAGAAGGGGCCCAAGCCATATGTATAGACCAGAAAATCAAAAAGACTTAAGATAAAGTAAAATAAAATATAGAATATAAATACAATAAAATTTTAATTAAATTCAAAATAATAAAATTAAATAAAATTAAAAATTAAATAAAATTAAAAATAAATTAAATGGGTGAGAAAATGCAACAGACTTGCATTGAAGGAGGGACCCAAGCCATATCAAGAGACCAGAAAAAAAGATAGTACAGTCATTGTTAACTACAACTAAAACTATTATTAATCATTTTCAATAATTGAAATAAAGCTAAAACAAATTAAAATATAAATATTAGATGAAAAACTTTACCTTAAAAAATGTACCTTGCAACCGAAATGAAAAAGTTTAAGCTGAAGTACAAAACTGACTAAAACTAAACTAAAACTGAAAAAAAAATAAAATAAAATAAAAAATAAATTAAAGGGGTGAGAAAATGCAACAGACTTGCATTGAAGGAGGGCCCCAAGCCATATCAAGAGACCAGAAAAAAAGACTTGAGGTAAAGTAAAACAAAATATAAAATACAGAATATAAAATACAATAACATTTTAATAAAATTGAAAAAATAAATAAAATAAAATAAGTGAGAAAATACCACAGATTTGCATTGAAGGAGGGACCCAAGCCATATCTAGAGACCAGAAAATCTAAAAGTCTTCATATAAACTAAAATAAAATACAGAATATAAAATAAAATAAAAAAATAGAATAAAGTAAAATATAAAATAATAACTAAAATGAGAATATACCGCAGACTTATATTGAGGGAAGGACCCAAACAATCTCTAAAAACCAGAAAATCCAATAGACTTGAGTGTGGGCTGTTTTGATTTGGACCAGTAAAAAAACACCCACAACTCCCTAGCAACCACATAGCAACGTGTTGGAGGAAAAAAACTCAAAACTCTTCAGCAACTGCATAGCAACACCCTGGCATTGTGGGGGTTTCGCACAGGCGAACCATTCACATTTTCTACAGAAACTCTTGTTAAAATTGATATGGGTGTTATAAATAAAAAAATTTTGCAGACTATTTGAATGTGTTTGGTCCTCATGAAACCTCAGATGATGTGATGGCAGACTTATATTGAGGGAAGGACCCAAACAATCTCTAAAAACCAGAAAATCCAATAGACTTGAGTGTGGGCTGTTTTGATTTGGACCAGTAAAAAAACACCCACAACTCCCTAGCAACCACATAGCAACGTGTTGGAGGAAAAAAACTCAAAACTCTTCAGCAACTGCATAGCAACACCCTGGCATTGTGGGGGTTTCGCACAGGCGAACCATTCACATTTTCTACAGAAACTCTTGTTAAAATTGATATGGGTGTTATAAATATTTTTTTTGCACACTATTTGAATGTGTTTGGTCCTCATGAAACCTCAGATGATGTGATGTAGTTCTCTCTGGTCTGTCTGTTTCTCAGTGTGGAGGATTTGTATTCCGGCCGGCCGTACGGAGCTCTGGACTCTGGCTTTAACAGTGTGGACAGCGGAGACAAGAGGTGGTCGGGAAATGAGGCAAGTGCTATTCAGATCACTCTATCAAGAATCCACTCTATCCAGCTGTTATTCTCCATTATCGCTTATTTTATTTTATTGTTCTGTTCTTCCTTTTTCCCCATCTATCCCATCTTAAAGCCTTCAGACGAGTTGTCAGACTTGCCGTTGAGAGTGGCGGAGATCACCAAAGAGCAAAGACAGAGACGAGATAGAGAAAGAGAGCGCGAGGATCATCGAACGGGGTCTCACGTGACCAATGGCACATGTGAGAGGCTTATGAAACACTACAGTTCAGACTCTAGTGATAAGCCACGAGAAGCTGTCCATTACAGGAATTTACATTTTTCGTTGTCTTTCTAAAGTGGAAGCAGAGCTTGAACAGATAGACTTCATTGACAGCTGTACGGGGGATGAGGGGGAGGATGGGCGGAGCCGTAGAGGGGCGGAGCCTGTCAGCCTCAGCTCACAGTTTATGGCCTACATTGAAAGACGAATCACCAGAGAGGTGCGCACTACTGCTTAATGGTTGATCACATCACTTCTAGTCAGATTTTGTTGTTAACACAGGGCTAATGATAGCTTTACTATGTTTCTAGGGTTCACCTGTGAAGACCAGCCCATCCAGAGAATTAAGAACCGATGATCCGAGACACCAAACCACCTTACATAACCGGTACTGAGCTAATTAAACTTTCATGACAATTACAGTGTATAATGTACATCTCCACACTATCATAAACAGAAATGATCTTGTTTTTCACGCTTGTTTCCCACCTGCTTTGATATTTTTTTATTTAAATATGTTTATATATAAATACATATATATATAAATGTATTCTATCAATAAATAAATATATATCTATGTGTATATATATACATATATATATATATATGTGTGTGTGTGTGTAAATCATATAATACAAATAAAAATTTAAAATTCAGTTAAAAAAACTGAGAATCAAAAATCAAACAGAATTAAGTCTTAACAGAGAAGTCAAATGTCGTCTGTGTTTTCACTAAAAGTTGTTGTTTTCTCTTTAGTGGTGGGTCAGATACAGTGGTCACATCTTCATACACTCATAACCAGGTGAGAGTCTCTGTACATACACACCTCATTATGCAGTCAATGAAATCGAAAGCCTGTGGATTTACTCTGGTTGTGTGTGTCAGCGGTCCGCTGGTGTGGCGTCAGGTTCTGGTGGCGGTGTGGAGAGAGTGAGAAGAGAAGCTCAGCTGGCGGCACTGCGGTACGAGGAAGAGAGACAGAAAACAAGACCAGTGCAAAGAGACGCTGTTATGAATTACGTCAAGGTACTGACACACACACAATTTATTAAAAATGCATTAGCCAAATAGAGTGTTGCAGTGCTGATGTATTTTTGTAGGTCAGCCCAGAAATTAGCATCACACTGGTTCCCTCGACTAAAACCCAATAGGATTTTTCCAGTGGCTTTTGAGCTATTGCATAAAATAGGCTCTGTGACCAAGAAAAGTTTATGATTCTTATATGCTTCATTCATCATGATAATCTTCACAAATGAACACAACCTTTATGAATTTTGAAGCATAAATACAGTTGGCTGTAGCGTCTGGACCAATCAGACACACCATTTTTCAATTTATGCTACAGGCTCTGTGTAGAGTTGTACAGTAAGAAAGTTATTTCCCTTAACCAGGAAATTAACGTTCTTAGAATTGACAGACAGTTGACCCTGAGAGGTCAAGTAAATATCTACAGCGGATCTAAATATTTATAATTAATTATAACTAGTTATGATTAATTATTCATATTTCCCCATGAGCTGATTCGCTACAGCAGAGGTGAAAAGCTAAACGTAGGCTATAAACGAATTATACTACAGTCACATGACTTTTGCGTCACCATCCCTAAGCATCCGACATCTTTTTCGGTACTTATTTAAAAGCCATTTTCTTTAAAGTTTGAGTTAGAATAGTTTGCAAGAGCGTGATTATAAACACAACAAGGCTGTAAAAGCAGACTAGGAAGTAAATGAGTTTACCTGTTCGGTGTGATGATGTTTAATGTCCCTGATAACCTCTGTAGTCCCATTTAGACACTTGTTAGCAACCGCTTAGGTAAAAACCTTAGAAAGCAACAGTAAGTGCATCATCCCAGCAGCACTGTAAAGCTAATAAGGGATAGTTCATCCAAAAATGAAGATTCTGTCACCATTTACTCACCCTCAAGATGTTCCAAACCTTTATGAGTTTCTTTCTTCTGTTGAACACAAAAGAAGATATTTTAGATAATGTTGGTAACCAAACATTTGACGGTAGCCATTGACTTTGAAAAATGACTATGGAAGTCAATGGCTACTGTCAACTGTTTGGTTACCAACATTATTCAGAATATCCTCTTTTGTGCTCAACAGAAGAAAGAAACTCATTGGTTTGGAACAACTTGAGGGTGAGTAAATGATGACAGTTTTAATTTTTGGGTGAACTATCCACCAACATTCCTCAGGCCACAATCAACAACCTGATCAACCATGTCTGCATTTGTGAGGAGATGTGGTGCACTGCGTGAGGCAAATGGTGGTCACACCAGACACTCCAAAGAGAAAGGAAAAATTGAAATCTCATCATATGACCCCTTTAACAATTTAATGCCGTAAAGTGTAATTCAAGTTACAGCAAAATACATCAAGATGCTCTGAAGGGTGAAATTTGATCTTTAGCATCCAAATCCTGATCAAAAACTGGTGATGTTTCTAGTGATGGGAAATCAATTTTCTGTCTTTGTATTTTCAGCACAAGTCGTCTCAGAGCCCTACGAAGCTCAGTCCAACAGACAGTGAGGTGAGTCTCTTCTTCAGATTTGCACAATCACCTCCTCCCTATCCATCACTTCATCCTGCTGTGTGTGTGAATGTGAGTGTGTGGCTCTGTAGTCATATGCATACTGTCCCACCCCAGAATCTGTACCCCTCCAGACGGTCCACTCACACCGATGACTCCGCCCTCTTCATGGTAAGAGCCAATCAGCTCGGATCATGCGTCACCCTCTGCCCCATCTCATTTCACTTGTGTTCACTTCCCTTAACAGATTTCACTATTAATCTTTGCATAATGAATTAACATGATTTAAGGTTTTTTTCTATTGGAAACTGCTTTTCTGATCTGTTTGAACTGCTGGCATCCTTTTAAAGTTGCACTCAGTAATTAAAAAGTTTACTCAAATAATTTAATTGTTCTCGTATGATTCAAATGATGTCCTCTAGTGGCTAGAAAAGACTGTTTTATTATATTATGACCAGCCATATCTTACTATTTACTATTAAAACTTGCTGTGTGCACCTTTAATATTAGATCGGCTTTTCCCAGCGAGCATCTTTAACACGCCTGCCCTGCTTCTTTTTGCTTCCCTGTCTGTTCTCTTCATCTTCTCTTCCTGTCTTTCTCTTTCTCTCTGTCATGTTGGTTCTCTGTCAGAGTGAGTTTGAGCCCCTACTGATATTTGAGATAGACACAGATACCAACACTATAAAGAAGAGGCCAGACCCTCACAAACAGGTGAAAGACACACAGACATGTTTAGCCAGCTGTCTAAATGGGGACTTGCCATAATAATAATAATATAATATAATGTAATTTATTGTGGTTTTATTTTTAAACAAAGCTGATTATTACCCCTAAAAGAAAGCATTTAGGGATTTTGGAATAAATGAAAACGTAATTTAATGCATTACTGCAGTAATATTTTCTCTTCATGATATGTTTCCTGCAGTATTTTCAGTAATAAACTTATGAAATCTTTTACTCTTTGACTATTCCAGAACAAAGACTTAAACTTTCTCAAACCCTCTATTTATTTCCTAATTTCGTTCCTTTATTTCCCCTCGTTTCCGTTACCCTCTCCTCATTGCTCTGGCTGGCTAGTCTCTCTCTGCTGTACCGCTGGATGGGTGTGTGTCTCCCACTTTATCCGTCGCCTCCTCCTGTATGCCGCAGGTACTGAACCGCAAGAGCCTGGAGATGTCACTTTATTTCTGTAGATGCAAATAAGCTTAATGTGGATGATTTTACTTTCCAAAATTTCCCGCGGCCCCAACCAGAGACCTGAGAGTTACCTGTTTCGCCTGAGTCAGCGAGAGGAGAAGAAAAAAGGTTTGTTTTCCTGACGCAGCCGATTGCTTCTTTGTGCGACATTTGTGATGTCATGATTAAACATATGATGCTTTATGATTAAACATATGATGCACATATTAAACATATGTGCGCTGTGCAGAATGCACTATTGATGTGTGTTTGTGGATCGTATTACATATAAAATTACAGCAGAAATCAAAAAAGTTATTGTTATTATATTATTTGACTGCCCACTCCCACAATGAAGTGTTGTAAATAAATGGCACAAATCAATGTTGGTGTGTATATTTGAATGTTTTGTAATAAACTCCTGAAGTATTGCGTTTTATCAGTTACTTGTAGTCAGTAGTTTTGCATTTTAATGTTTAATCATTTTTTATAGTTGTTTCCTAACCCTCAGGAAAGAATTAAGGTACAAGGTGTTTTACCGTTGCCTCCTTTATTTACAATTATTTTCATAGACTTTGCTTTGAATCTCATGTTGTGATGATGTCATTCATCGTTGGTTTGTCTTGAATTCTTAATTGAAGAATTTTCTAAAATCCTTCTGGAGAAAATGTGAGAAAAGCCACAGGAACCAAAGTCACTGAAAAAGTGCAGTGTTGTTACTGTTAACTAAATAATTGAAATTGATAATCGAAGTGCTCATTGAAATAAAGCAGAAATATAAATATTAGAATTGAAAACTTGAAATAAAGTTAAAAGTACAAAAATTTCTAAAACAAACCGAAATAAATATAAATGAAAAGCTAAACAAATATTAAAAAAATAATAAAATAATAAAAATGACAAAAGCACATAAAAATAAATTAAACTAAAATTAAAATTTAAGAA